ATAGTTATAATTTCATATGTTGAGAACGTGCGCCACCATGAGTATGAGTGTACCAATACTACGATCAGTCCTTCTCCTCCACCTCATGCGTCTTCACTTCCAATCCTCCTCATCCTCCTCCTCCACCTCCTTCTCCTATGTTGTTTGAAGCTTTATGACACAGAAGTAAAAAAAGAACATTTTCTTAATGTCATGTGTGTCATACGCTCCCACCAACAATTTATCATTTTAGTAGGCAAGTTTCCAACCCCGCCTATTATTAACCCTATCCGTACGCCTGGGGTCATTTTGTACCACAGGGGTTGTATTCTTCACATTTTAGAATACTTCTAAAACGAAGATCTCTTTGAAACTTTCAGTATTTCTCAAAAAATCATTTTGAAAGACTGCTATGCAAAGCGTAACGAGTAAATTTCCTCTCTTTGGAAAGTAGTGGCACAGAGTTCCCCACTTCGTATGGATAAATATATAGTAAAACACGATGTATGAATAGGATTAAGGTCAACTTGATTGAGAAAGAGAGAACTTAACTGGGAGAGACAGGGATACAACATCCCAACAGAAAGACTGAGATACTCCGTAAAAAATTCTCCCCACTCAGGAACCGTACTCGAGTCTCCTGCATGCAACGACGAAGGGCCAAACCATTAATTCCACCACAGACGCAGGTCGCCATAAAAGTCTGTTTTATAATGAACAATGTAAAAGTACAGTGGGAACCATCAGGCCCGGTAATAACAGGGATTCGGTAATAATTCAGGGATTTTTAAAATCCCTGTTTTCTCTTACTCTTTGTCTCTATTAAACGTTATCGGCACTAACAGGGCCTCTTCGGTGCCCAGTCGGTTGTAACAGGGACAATTAGGCTCGTTCACAATAAGTAAAAAGTAAGAGAGAGAGAGAGAGAGAGAGAGAGAGAGAGAGAGAGAGAGAGAGAGGGAGAGAGAGAGGGGGGGGGGGGAGAAAGAGAGAGTGAGAGAAAGAAAGAGAGAGAGAGAGAGAGTGAGAGAAAGAGAGGGAAAGAGTGAGAGAAAGAGAGAGAGAGAGGGGGGAGGGAAGTTACGTAGTGATACAAGCTCACGCAAGCCATGCCACTGCAAGCACGCGCAGCGGGTGAAGCGAGAGAGGGCAGCGGTATGCTGCAGACTTTGATTCCTAAGCCTCGCAATACAAGCCACACACGCGTAATGTGTCATGCGCAGGCCTGTTCGAGGGTACTTGTGGCAAGGGAAACTACCCATGAATAAAAACAGCTGGATTAGTCCACAAATGCTCACTTCCCTTGCATTTCTGATTTAACAGGGATCTGATATAACAGGACTTTTTCTCTGATCCCATCGTCCCAGTTATATCAGGTTTCCACTGTAGTATTTCCAAAGGCCAAACAAATTAATGTAATGTTGCTGATGGTATGTGTGACATTTCATCAGATACAGTCAAATCTCGCTATACTACCCACTGTTATACCACCAGCTCCGTTTACTGCCAGATTAATTGCCAAGGTACAAAAAGTAAAGCATGAACATAGTATTTTTGTCTTCACACCACCATCGTACAACTGTCTTGAGTTTTACAGTCTTTATTAAACTAACATAATATATATATATAAATATGCCCTGCTGTACTATCACCGAATTTGGGGCCACAGGTAAGCACTACATACAGCGCACAATATCTACTCGGAGGCAGCATGATAATCTCTTTCCCACAGTTCTGTGAGTTAACTGCCTGTTTCTCGTTTTTGTCACCAATTGTTGCTCTTGGTTTGACCAGATTATAAAAATGCTCGGGGGGGTTTTTGCGGTTTAATTTGGCTAAAATTCAAGAAAATAATAAGAATGAAATTTTAATCAGACGAAACTGCAAAGGAACTGCGCCATCTCAAACTGTCAAATATTATTATTTGTCATCAGTTCTCAGCCCGATGACCATAAAGGCTGGCGGGTGCTTGTGAGGTTTTTCATACGGTGCAGAGTCAATGTAGAAGGACAGAGACAGCCCAAGGACTGGTGAGTATAGGTTAGAAAAAAAACCAACTGAATGTTTACAGAGTCCTTGATACATAAATAGCTTAACTTCTGATCCGGGAGGCATCTTCAATGTAGATTCACGTTAAGTTCAACTGGAGCTGTAGGCCTACATGTAATTAGTTGTTACAGTATACTTAAATTTCTCCTGCACTCAACAATCAAGCAAAACAGATTTAGATGAGTCAAGACAGGTCACAGTTCAATTTGTCTCTAGTCTCTACTTGTATAGCACTGGTCAAGATGGCAATCGGTGCTATTCGTTATACCACTTAGAGCCCCGCTATTCCACCAACTTCATGCTCGTTCCAAGGTAGGTGCTATAATGGGGTTTGACTGTACAAGTATTTGCAACAAACAAACAAAAATTATCTCCAGACACCACTGCAATCAGGTTACGTATGTCATATATATTCTTTTTATTGTCCTCAATACAATTTGCTGTTCAGGTAAAATAAAAGCATTTCATATCACAACAACAATATCAACAAGAAAGAAGCATTAGATCAACACACCAAAAAAAACAACAACAAAACAGCTACAGTGGGTGTCACATTCAACGAGAAGTCAGCTCCAATGAGGCAATCCTTAATCCCCGATTTTTCCTCTACATCTCTTTGTAAATGTATGTCAGCTCCAACGAGGTTGCAAACAGACAGAAGTCGCTTTCAACAGGGTCGCGATAACCAAATAAAAGCAATTAGCGGCCCCAAAAGCGAAGAATTCTTCTCCTTTCTCTGTATCTCAAGCGAAGCACAAGGCCAATCCTCGATTCCTAACATATTGTATTGCTAGATCTAGTGTGCCTTATATGGCCCCAAAGCTAAGAAGATGGGCGAGGGTTAGCCTATGGTAGGGATGGGAGGGGGTGGGTGGGAACGCTATGTGGGCTGCACAAAACTGGATAAATTCTGGATGGGTAGATCTAGATCGAGACCTTCATTTTTTTCAATTTTCTTTTCTTCCCCTGATCTGAAAATCCAAGCTCCTGCCTTCACTTTATGTAGATCTAGGCCTAGATATGAGAGGGTATGTTTCCACACAAGAAGTTTTTCCAGAAAAAAAATATTTTAAAAGGCAGAAATGACGGTCAGAACACAGCTCAAACACGCGTACACTGATGCTGTTTGAGATTTTCGTCATTAAGGGAACAACTGTTTTAATTACTGGTATTGGTACATCGTGTAATGTACAAACTTGTCTCCTTTCTTTTCTTTAGCTTTTGTCACGTTCAACGAGAGGTAGAATCCAACGAGGACAACAAGCCAGTCCTGGTAACCTCGTTGAATGCGACACCCACTGTAATTCTTGGAGTCTACATAACACACTCCAAGTTCAACAGACATGAAATGAGTTCTCCCCTCATGCCTTCAACCAAACTTTCTTTGGGAAGACCAGCTACTGCTTCGAACAATGTGTGTTAGGTCATCAAAGTCAAAGTGAGGGAGTTTGATACAGATCTCAACAAAGGGCTGGAAGTGGAAGACATTCCTACTGTTCCCATCTATGCAACAAATGTATGTCTGAGGAGTGCAGAGCTACGGAATTAAACAGTCGACCAAATGGACCTCAGGTGCAAGACTCCAATTGGCTCACAAGACCAGGGCTCAAAGAATTAAAGTAAAAAAAATTGGAGTCTACAACATTGTTTGAAGTTACGAGTTAAGAACTGTAAAAGCATAAAATATTTATATCCTTAAAGTCATGATCGCTATACTCCTGAAAAATGACACATAAATTCAAGACACTATCAAAGTCACCAATATTTTGTTGTTGAAGTCATGTTTAAGAAAAGAGTATGACATTGTCTGAAATTTATATATTATATCACAATTATTGTTGAAGTTGTCATGTGAACTGTCCTGTCAAAAGTTAAGTATGTAATATTAATATAACAATGAATGTTACATCCTCGAAGTCACAAACAGACTAATTTATACTGCTGAAGTCATGAATACTCAAAACTGCTGACGTAATAATGTACATAATCTAGTTTCATTTTCAAGTATAAATGTAGATATGATGATGTAGAAGTCATGGAATTTGTATTGCTGTAGTCATGAGCACAATATCAATTAAATTACATGTGTACTATTGATAATGTCATGTCCATTACACTTTTTATGTAAAGTAAGTTATGCAAAACACAAAGTTATTGTAGCCTCTTTCATATTCATTACAATAACGCTTTTTATATCTTTCTCAAATATAAGAAGTAGTATTATCTTAGTAAAAAGAAAATCCCATTTAAAAAGTTCTGAGTTACACCAAAGAGATGGAATACTATGAGTGCAAACATTTGCATTACTAAAATTTTATGTCACATGTTATTCAGTCCAACTGACATGGCATGGGTTCTCCCCTCACACCTGCTAACAAATTCTCAGCTGCCAGCACTGCCATTGCTTCTCGGGTGCTGTATGTGGCACTGCCTATGTGAGGGAGAACAACACAGTTATCAAGTTTCAACAAGGGGTTATCTGTGGGTAAAGGTTCTGGTGAAGTAACATCCAAGCCTGCACCGGCTATCTCACCACTAGTTAATGCATGAAGCAGGTCTTCCTGGTTTACAACACCACCACGACTGCTGTTGACAAATATAGCAGATTTTTTCATTTTTGAAAAAGCATCCTTGTTGAATAGCCCAGCAGTATCCTGTGTGAGGGCACAACATGCGATCACGAAATCCGAAGTCTGAAGCAGATCATCAAAGGGCACAAATTTTGCTTTAATACTTTCCGCTTCCGGCTTTTCTGACCGTCCAGAGTACAAAAACTGTGCCACACCGAATGGTTTCAGGCACTGAGCAACTGCAATGCCAATTCTGCCCAACCCCACAATACCAACAGTTGATCCGTCCAGGCCAGAGCCACACAGCCAAGTCGGCTTCCAGGTGCCCCATTCTCCATTCACGACAGCTCTCATTCCTGAAAGACAGTAAACAATTAAAACAATTTTTCAAAGGCTTTTACTCTTACATTTCTTGAAATGACATTAGCCATAACCCCAGGCTTAACTGCCTCATAACCTAGTCCTTGATTGGCAGGGGGAAAACAGGCCATAGTCACAAAATATACATTTCTCGTTTACTATTGAGAGTACAGCCATTTAACAATATACGATGATAGCAAAATGATCTTGCTTTCATTCTGTGAAATTGATACAGTGGAGTCCACTTATAATGAGTCCTGAAATAACAGGAAGTCTGTTATAAAGACACTATTCTAAAACCCCGTTTTTCCCCTTCTTTATCTTTGCAAATAAAACACTGCATTAGCGCAATCAGACAAACACGCATAGGCCATTTATCCATTGTAAATGGTTGTGATCTAGCAAAACAAAGAATGGGAGAGCCCACGTGTGCCAACAACGAAAGAGTGAGGAGGTTATGGCATGCGGAGACAAGCAGAACGCATCGTGTGATAGGCCAGCCTAGTCTAGATTATCTAGGTCTACCATGCCTCTCACATCTCCGATGCGTGTATGGAGAGGTCAAAATGCTGTGATGGATGGAGCGAATGCGTGACGTGCGCAAACAGACGGAACGCACCACAGGGTGTGGTGTGGTGGGGGACAACACAGCAGATGAGTTAGCCTTGAGGCCTTTCTTTCTGATTGCCTTCGCCAAGCTGTCAACATCCCTAGCGCTAGAGAAAGAAACCTGATTCGATTTTTGATCAAGTATGACCTAGAGGTCATGTTAAAACAAAATCATAATCAGTACAATAATAATAATAATAAATAGCATTTGTATAGCGCATATCCCCGCTCAACAGCAGGCTCTATGCGCTTTACACTATATTATTACCCCAGCAGACCATAGAACACTCCGAAACATTCTCAGCTTCCGCGAAAGCATACAGTGCAAGCTGCGGATTTCACGCGCTCAAACACTATCAAACTGACAAAATCTTTCTCTGTCTATAGCTGGGTACCCATTTCCACCTGGGTGAAGTGAGGAAAATTCGTGCAAAGTGCCTTTCCCAAGGACACAACGTCGGGCCCCTAACGGGATTCGAACCCACGACCTTACGGTTGCGAGTCTGAGGGCCTAACCACTAGGCCACCAAAGGTCCCGGATATCAGGGGATATAACAAAAAGAAATAAACAGAACACCAAACTCAAAGATTAGGCCTACTTTATCATTTCCATTTAATTTATTACTGGATCCTGTATAACGAGAATCCTGCTATAACTGACATTTCGCACCGGTCCCCTACCTCTCGTTATAACAGGATTCCACTGTATAATATAAATTCAAACCTTTTCTAATGACCACCTGTACAAGACAAACAAGCCTGCACAAACAATCACTTCCCCTTGCTTTCTTCTTTGTTTTATATCATGATGACACGATTTAAGAGGACCAGATGATCCAAGAGGACCAGCTCTCAAAGATGACCACTTTTCTCATCGACAACGGACGATCGTCTTAGACAGGTCCAACTGCATTTCTCTATTTATTGTCCATGCCAAAACAGCTTCAGTACTCAGATCAGAGACCTCCTTGTGGTTGATATCATGCCACATCATACTGTACTACTATGTCTTTGCCTTACGATGAGCTCTAGGTAATTCCCCTGGTGAAATAAACTGTTAAGGAGCAGAGATAAAAGATCAGAATCTTTAGCACAATGCTTTTCCATGACAATCCAACTCCCCACAAAGCAAGGGCTACAATTCTATGCACAAAAGATCAAGGGATTCAAGTTCTGCTTCATCAAGCCTACAATCCTGACTTAACTCCCGCTGTGACTCCTTTTTATTTCTTATTCCCAAAACCAACCTTTCTGATGAAAGTTTGAATACTTTCAAGACAGCATGAGCTGTCAATTCAGGGCTGAAAAACATACAGAAACCTGATGAACAAGACTACCTTCAGAATTAGCTTTAGAGGCTAGAATCCTGCATACAACACTCAGAAAAATATTTCAAGAGACTGACTGAAAATTTCAGGTCCATAGCATTAAAGTTTCTGAGTTATTTCACAACTTCCAATACTTTTTTATTCACCTTTGTAGGCCTATGTGAGGCAGCGTGGTGAAATCAGACGTTCATCAAACTAATGAAATTTTTCTGCCAGTTCGGTAATTTTTATCGAATTTTTGTTTTTTTGCCACTGTCGTCCAATTATGAACACATTTCTGGGTGGTTTTTCTGAAAAACATTGATTCAAGGCAGAAAAAATTTAAGCTTTCAGTTTCCATGGATTATCAAGCAATGGAAATAACAAAACTTTGACGGCCATTTTCTCGCCAATTGCAACTTTAAAACCAAGCGACTTCACCTTCTTCAATCTTAAATATTTCGACATCTATTCAAGACAGATGGGCATTTTTTTTCACCAATAGCAAGACAACTGATAATACCAATAACTCCACATGTCCAAATTGACAAGCGCCTGATTCTACCACTTCATGACACATACAGTTTCAATTCAAGTATTACCAAAAGTAATAAAAGTCGAATTATTCAAATCAATAGTTTTACCCCCTTTGTTTCATTGGAAAGATTGCAATTCATGCCAAAATAGATAAATATGGATGCCTCTTCTTACCTTCTTTAAGACGTCTCGAAGTGGCAAGAAGTAAAGCTACAGTCAGCTCTGCAGTAGCACTAGTGAGAATGCCAGGAGTATACCCAACAGTTATTTTTCTTGCCTTACATTCTTGTAAGTCAATATGGTCATGTCCAACAGACATTGTCGAGACTACTTTCAGTCCAGGTCCTGGAAAGAGAAAAAGGGAGTTTGGTAAAAGTATAACGGTGAGACAAAGTAATACTACTTACCATAATAGAACAGTGCTACAAGGAGATGCTTACTGTGAAGGTTCTACAAAGTGACCCTTACATACTGTAAAAGTGCATGCTACAAAGTACAGTCGACTGTCGACTCTATTCGTGTTGAACTTGCTTGACTTGATCTTCCGTTAAGTTGGTCTTTTTCTGCAGTCCCAACACCTTTTCTTCTTTTCATTCGTTTAAGTCAAATGGTTATGTGGAGTTCAACTCAAACGCAAATACGCTTGAGTTGAAGCACTTTTTTACCCCCAGCTGCAAGTATGCAACTGTAAAATTATTGATATTTTTTGCCATGTGTGTATCATCAGATGTATCACAGAAATTTTGACACGACTGATACTAAATATATACGAACGTAATCATGTAGAGCTGATGAACTTCCAACAGGCCTGCACTACATAGTACATGTTATACCTCAGGGAAACAGTGAGGGTGAACTTGTGTGTGACGTCACGATGCAATAACCACGTCCACATTTGTCGTTTCTTACCCTTCCTTCAACTTTGAAGGGTATGGCATGCCACAATAAGACAATGAGTAAGAGAGTAAAACCTTGGAACTAGTACTATGTTCTTCATTGAAAACATAGTCATACTCTCTGCTGTAAAGTTCACTTTCTGAAGTTTCATATACCAGTTTCAGTCACCCATCAAACATATTGCTCACAGAGTCCTATGTGTCTGTAGGATATGAGCACTGCAACAGGTTGTTAATCACTTTTATTGTTACTGTCTAGACTTGTCTTTAATTAAGCTCATATAATATATATATTTATATATATATATATATATATATATATATATATATATATATATATATATATATATATATAAATATATATATATATGATGCAAGCTGTCTATAAAAGTTTTTGTGAAGATTTCCCTTTGTTATGCTTTCCTGTTGGTGTGTTTCGAAGGCTGAACTGTATTTTAGAGGAACTGGCCCTGCATTTGAATGTCTAAATGAACCTGTATCAAAATACGTATGACGAAAGCGTGCGTTTCAGCGGAGCGTTTTGTCCGGCGACTATTATGCTGCACAGCCTACAAGGAAGAAAATATATCACAGTTCAGTTGAGGAATGGCATATCTTATAACTTATTTGTAACATTCAGTTTTATCTGTTTGTGTTATTTATGTCTACTGTAAGTGAAAAATTGCACATGCAGGTCCTAACATTAACTAACTCACCCTGTTACAATCTGCTTCTTATGCTAATCCAGGCGAGTATTCGATTCACTATTGGAAAGATAAGCGCTCACCCTCAGCAACTGTGACAACTTTCACAACAACAACGTCCATAACGGCCCCTTACCTGCAGCATCTAGGAGCTCGGCATCAATCTTGTCTGTTAGTAAACAAAACAAAGCATCAATTCCTCGAACCGAATCTAAGTAACCTTTTCTTGACGGTGGCTCATCAGAATCCCAGCAGTTTACATCACATCCCGCCTGTAGCATTTGCAGCGCTTTGGGGGGAATTCTTCGACTTACAAATACCCGGGCCCTTATCTGAGACAACATTGCAGCAAGGACAGCAAGATTGATAAAGAAAGATGTAACCTAGGCTAAAGACTCAGAGTCAAGAACGAAGTGTTGTTCAGCTTTGCACAGCAGAAGGCCAGGGTCAGAGGGTAAGGGAAACGCCCTTTGACCTTCGTGTCGGGAGCAACCGATACACATGATAGTATCGACTACGCGGTATGTGGTCGCCTATTGTCGCCTGTTGCTGAGAAAGAATGCCTGTTGCTGTCACTGTCATTGGTATCGTCCACAGTCAGAGGTGCAATACTTTTTTTACAATTTTTTTTCTGACCGAGTACATGTATTTGCACATGCCGATGACTCGTTGAAGACTGCTGTAAACTACTGTCAGCTGATTTCTCTCTGTTTCTTTGTGCTGCCAAATCGAACTTCTTATTGCTTTGTTTATTACTGTTGCATTACACACTACTTAGTCTTCAGAGAAAGACGTCTGACAGCTGCTAAGCTAACACTTTCATAGATCATCACCAGGTATGTAAATCGTTAATTTTCAAAGACTTTGTCATTGCTTTCGACAAACATTCGCTCTCACAGAATGGCTTACACCTGGATCCAGACAGTCTGAGACAGCTGATCATACTCATTGATGATTGATGTTATGTTGTTGTCACCGACTTGACAAGAGTAAGAGGACAAGGTTCGAGTTTGTTTTATATTTAACAGATTAGATCTAGATCTAGATCTAGATCCAGATGGCTTTCTAAGGGATGATTTTGTAGTTGATATGGGCTGGATTGTACTTTACAGAACCACCCGTCTCGGCCCGTGATTACTACGCACACACCTAGCCTAACAACGCACTCATAGTACTCTGCGTGCGGACAAAAGGTAGCTCCGCGGGCGACTTCGCGCACCGTGCAAGCCAGCGGCGACTGGCGAGGCGAGGTGAGCGAGAGGTGGTGGTTGAGAGTGGGCAGGGGATTTAACTTTGGTGGACCACTGTGTATCATACCAACAGTGGGGAGGGGGGGGGGGGGCAGGGGGGCTTGCCCCCCTGGAAACTATAATAAAGAAAACACACGAAAATGCGAAACAATAACATGAGCGGACAGTCGTGTTTACATATCAATGTAACAACAGTGGGGGGAGGGGGGGTTTCAGGGGGGCTAGCCCCCATGGCAACAATAATTCAAAGACACACATATTTATAAAAAATAGCATGAGCGAACAATCGGGGTAGATATTCGCCAAGTCGCGAGCAGGGCCGAGGGGGTTGCAGTTATGCAAATGAGCTCTTGTGCGCTTCTGTAGCCCTCCATTGTACTTTGCCGGACCAGGAGTAGGCTAGGCCAAGCCAGTAGAGTCGCGAGCAAATTTATATAAATAGTGGACCATGTGATTAGATTGACCAATTATTATTAGCCTCAAGGTGTCAAGGATGAGGGTCAAAGGGCACAGTGGCATGGTCGTGATGACTGAAAAACCCGGTAAGAGACGTCAGTCGATTCCTGGCAGTGAAGAGTGAGGACGTAGAAAACTGAGTAGGAGAGTGAGTAGGGGAGCTCGGAAACGAAGAATAGCGGGCCACTAGGCACCAGGGGCGCCATAGCGAAAGTAGTTCCGACCGGTGGTCCGGTAAAATACAATCTTACCTATTTTTTAGCCTTGTAGTTTTGTTCGTTTAAGTCCAAAGCTGAACGCCAGAGACCCTGAATTGCTCGGTAATTGTTGAGGAGAAAATCAAAATTCAAGCAAAGAATGGCCCTCTTTCGGCAGTTCCCACACCCACCCCCAATTATTATTCGCTGGTTTGGGCCCCAAGAGTCAAGAGTTTTATATGGAGGGGGGGGGGTTCAGGGGTGAACAGGGGGGATTGCATGCCCCCTCTCAGTTTTACCATAGCCCACCTCTATATTCTCACCCCAGGTGAGAATAGTGCAAGCAGGCTTTTTGGCTATTCTCACCCGGTGTGCCTTCACTGTGATAGGTCAACCAGTGCAGCGTTCACCGTGAACAAACGTTCCAGCCCTCTTGCATTGAAAGCATGCAATTTTGTCTGTGAGCAGTGAGAGAGAAAGAGGGGGGGGGAGAGAGAGAGGAGTAGGCTAGCGCGAGAACTTCGAGGCAAAACAAAATGGCGACCTGCGTAGTTCGGCTCGATTCGAAAGTGAAATGGCCATAGCATCTTTGAAGACAACCAAAGTAGCTTACTTTTGTGCTATAACGTCATTTTTTTCTTTTTTTTTTATCTGATCATCCACACCGATAGACAGTAATCCTAAATTAAGAAAAACAGGTCTTGTTTCACACCTGGTGAAAATAGCCAACACTGGCAGGTCTCACCCGGGGTGAGAGGTCGATCGTATTGTTATTCTCACCGCGGGTGAGAATGGCCACTTCCTTTACCACAATTTGACGTTTTGCAATTAGGTTGCATCCCTGTCTTTGTGTTGCCTATTTGGTCATCAAGACCTCCGGATTTCTTCTCTGGATGTAAACAAATGGGTGGTAGACTTTAACGAATGGAACTACAAGATCACCTTCTAAGGACCAAGCCTAAATCTAGCCAAAAATGTTTGATTTCTGATTCACTGATTCAAGCCAATGATTTTAATAATTCTGTCGTTTGTATTATGATGTAGATTAGATTAGTTCTAGATTCTGAGTCTTGAGTCAGAGTCTAGATCTAGATCTAGATCTAGTTTCTAGATCTCTGCATCATATCGATCAGTGGATAAATTTTTGTATATCAGCCTACATAATAGGGCTTATTTGAACATTAGCAGACCACCACTATGTTTACCTCATATTCTTGCACGTGTAGTATTCGGCCAACGCGTATCTCTGCGCACGCCTGGCTAACGCGTATCCTTGCGCACGCTTAGCTAGGCCCACTGTTAATTGAGTAGAATACTTAACAGAAGGGGTGTGTAGACGGAAATAAAGTGCCAACAAAGGGAGGGGGGATGCAGGGGGTTCCCCCCCCCCTTTTAAAATCACAAAATTAATAGATCTGGGCCTAGTTGCGACAGGAGGGGAGGCGATGGGAGAGAAGCAAGCCAGCCAGCGTAGCTGAGGCATGGCGTGCTAGGTGATGATAGGCCTAGGTTAGTAGGGAGGGGATCGGCACTAGAAAAAGAAGAGAGGGGGTGAGAGTGAGAGTAAAACTGACCTTTATTGTTGTGCAAACAGTTGCTCAAACTCCTCTGTGTCCATGCGCGTAATTTCTTCAGCGGTTATGTCGGTACCATCAATATAACAGTGGGAGTGATTACCGGCACTGTTATTTCTATCTCTTTGCCGTCAGTGACAATAATAGGTGTGACCACTGGCCCAGTCAAGTCTGGAGGGGGAGATGATGTGACACACGAGGGTAACTATGGTGTCAAGGGGAGGGACATTTTCTTTGTCAGAACTGACAGTGGCAGCAGTAGAGGTTGGGGGAGGGACTTGGGTGTCCTTGGCGGACCAGTTCTCACGAAGAGACTCTACAGCTTTCTCTTTGGTGTAGATGTGCTGTTGAATTTACAGAAACACAGAAAGGGACCTCTCGCTGACAGAACTTTCTCCTATTAGTAAATTCGGCAAAATAAGACTCAATGAGAGACTTGGCAAACCTCAATTTGTTTCTTTTCAAACTGTGCCAAATACTTTCAATGTGATTGGTGTGGGCATGGGTCACATGGTCTTTGAAATGTCTGGAGTGGTTGACCGTCTGGTGGGTATAAGTATAAGACTCACTCAACAGACGATCATAGGCCTTCCAGTAGTCTGAGATAATGACTGACCCCTCCCATGTGTATTTTTTTATCACTGAGATCAAAGTGGCAGCTGACCTGTCTTCCACTACCTGAAAAAAACAGTTTTCCTTGTAGTCTCGTTCGATGCCTCCGAACACCCAAACACTGTCTACATGTTTTCCTTTGTGAAACTTTTGTTTCCCAAACTTCCAGCAGCTCAAGTGTGTGTGCGTCAGTCTGCTTGAGTTTGTGTGCGTTTGTGGCCTACTTCTAGAACCGCACGCGTTGGTTCGTAACCGAGGTATTAGTTTCATTCAAAACACGCCGAGTTGGTAGCTGTAGATTCTATGTTCGTCCAATGAAATTAGATCAAATTGACCCACTTAGACATGAGGAGCTCGAAAGGATAGTCAGGAAACAGGACTTCCATTTTTCTATACAAAATCTTTCAAATGAGCTTGATTTTGTATGAAATGATACTACCCTACTAACATGCATATGTATTTTAAACCTGAATAATTACTAATGTGTACTCAACATTTTTTTTTATAAACACCAAGTCAATATGTCAAAGATACATACATAGAATCAAAAAGCGAAATTGCTCTCGTTTGGTACATATTTTGTGAATTTTGTTGATTTCTCACAAAAATTGCCTCAAATTCTGGGTGCGTTTTACTGTTCATTGATGGGTGGCCATTATTGAGGGACAATTGACACATTGATTGGTGTATATCCATAATCCATCTGTGATATCTCTCATTTCTTAGTTTAAGAAGAATGTTGATAGAAAAACTTGATAACACAGTCTTTGGGCATATTGAGTCAGGATTAATTCTTAGCCCTTACAGCTCTTTACCCCACCCCCAGGACCAAGATAAACCTACTGACATGTATTAGATAGTATAGTACGACTGATAAGATCATGCATTGCTTCCTCTCCTGACTTCTTTGAGTCTCAGTGACTCAATGTCAGTGTGGGAATAAGGGGGCTTGGGAATTAAAATTCAACCACTTTAACCAAGTAGGTGATTAGGCCTTTAATGTTTAATTTGCAAATCTGAATTTATATTTATGTAGGCCCTATATACAGTTACACAGTGGAACCTGCCATAACAGCCATCCGTACAAAATGCCACTTTCCATTTCCACCCTTGGGTTTTTTCTATATAAATAATTTCATTATTTAAAACAGTAAACCCGTCCAACGGTGCAACAGCCACCATTTTATCATCCAACAACCAAGAATTACCTGTCTAAGATAACAGTGCAAATTTCTCATCACCCAACGTTTTGTCATAAATTATGTATTGGCCCCAGACACCGGATGAACCGCCATAATTCAATCAACTGTCGTTATTGTTAGTTCCTCCAACGGATCATGTTGCGTAGGCCCCTTTCACTGTTAACCGATCATGAGCAATAGATTTTTAGCTGCTGGTGAGGGAAGCGTATGATCACTCATAAACCATAAGCCCCTTCCCACAACTCATACACAAATCAATAGTGAGATCATGAGTGACCACTTTTTACCCAGTCTGTAACAAAGTAACAATAGACGTCCACATGAAATTGCAATGGAAGCGTCGCTCGTTCTCCTAGTGGTGGCGACCCATGAGTTTGTTTTATCACGACACAACCTTGTCTGACAAATTTAAATTATATTTTACCCTTGTACTAAATCAGCAACCCCCCAATAAAAGTTTAAAAAACTAACCCAAAAAGAACAACAAAAAACAATACCTTCTCTCCCCTGCCCCCCCCCCCCCCTTTTTTTTTCTAAAGAAAACAAAAACCTATTGCAATTAGCTTACGATGGTCCTAAACCTGCGACCACCTCCTATTGGAACCTCAGAAGGGAATGGCTTGTTTTCTTCATTTTGATTGGTCCTGCCTTAGACAAATGTTCTCTTTAGTTATATATATTATTATGATTATGTACTTAAGACGCAAGTGTAAATTTGCACTGTTGATCCCTTAGAATGCTACTACATGGTTTGAATAAAGTGGTCAACACAGTACTTGTGTTGTTTTTCCATCATAGTGATGAAAAACCACAGCAGAGCAATACATAGAGTTGGAATAATGTTTGTCTGACTGGTTGATTACTACTGATCAGACTAGTTCAGGAGAGAAAAGCTGTACCACAGTTGTCTGGTGGAATGTAGCTGGCTCTGGATTTACACAGCCTGTGTTTATTTTTGGCTTCTGCAACTACGTTCCATTCAAATATTGAGACACTTTTGCTGGTGTTGCTTTGCCAAAGAAATGAAAAAGTAATAGGAACTTATATATATTGGCCCAGAGTCCAGAATTTATTGTCGTCAGCACTGTGAGCTCAGCATTGACCACACCAAGTTAATGGAAAGTTTTTTGGTTGCACTAAATGCTTTTTTAAAAAGTATTTTTTGCTATGGAACAATGCTATTGATAGCGGGATGCCATTGGAAGTTTCAATCCCTTCAGTTCACCTTTCTTAGACTGGTAAGTTATGTGTTCAGAGGAGTAAGAGGGGTATCTCAGGGCTTAGACATAGAGCAAGTTGGATTTTCAAGTAAGACATTTTTTATCGTGTGCTCCTCATCTTTTTACTGGGATTCTGTTTCCCCTCTCAGACCAACAGGCATTGTTGAAGCAGCTTGCCTTCTAAAAGGTCTAGTTGTGTTAATGAGGGCATAAAACACTGGCAAGCAGTCAAATCATTGAGCAAAGTACCGTTGCTCTAACGGCCACCTATATAAGACAATCACTTGTACAAGAATGGGTACTTCCCATTCCCCCCCTTGAATTATTTAAAACATAATGAAAGTACTGTGTAAGATGTCCACCTGTCTGAGATGGCCACTTTTCCCCCTCGATAATGGATTACCATTTTATACAATTTTTACTGTAGTCCTAAAAGCTTGAAATCCATGTACAGGTAGCAGTTATGAAACTGAACTGACACACGGATAGCACGTATTGCAACCACAGGAACATTTTATCTTGATTGTTTCAAAATGAGAAGGTCCTGTTGAAAAATCAAATGTTGCCACTTTTAGTGTCATGTTTGGGTTGTGTACAGGTTTCCTTCCTTAGGGCTGGAGATGGGTGGTTGGCAGGTGCTCTGGTGTGGTTTCCTCCTTCTTTCCTGTCAAACATCTATCGCCCTCATCTCTGCTTCTTTTTGTGTTCATTACTCTCTTGTAAGACCTTCAATCTTTGGCACTTATATGACCTAATTGTGTTGCAAGTGCCATAAAACACTAAAGCAAAAACAAAGATAAGGGCTGGAGGGTACAGGACTATTGAAAGAAAAGATTTTGGTGACGAAGCAGAGGCAGGCAGACATAATTTTTACCTTTGAGATTTGTTATTGAATCTATGAATGTATTACCTAAAGTTTCAAGCCCTATTGTACTCAAATAAATTCAAAATGTGCTAACAAACCGCTTTTTTTTCTTAAATTTTCCTTTCAGAACCAGCTGCAGTCATGTCTACTGGTTGTTTATATCAGTATCTTAACTGTTCAATATTGAGGGCAGGTCAGCTGCAAAGGGAAGATCTGTGGGTGAGAAATGGAAAAATAATGAACCCTGAAGTCCTGTTCTTTGTGGAAAAAGTGACTGCTGATGTGAAGATTGACTGCAAAGGTCTCATTATTTCTCCAGGTTTCATTGATGTGCAGATTAACGGTGAGCTATCGCATAGTAGTTGTTTGGTTTAGTTTAAAAACTGTTCTTTTATAAACCGATGGCCTCAGGCACAAATCGTCTAACTACAAAATTCCCTCGGACACTTTTATTTAAATAGCATGGAAACCCTATTTTACACTATTTCTAGATATATATATATCCCTGCTGTCAGACCAATGTTGAGATGTTGCAAACTGTCGTGTCATTTCAAAATCTGTATCAAAATTTTATGAAAATTGATTTCTTTATCCTGTTAAAAAAAGCATGCATTCAGATATAGGTGTAATTAGTACCAGAGGCCATCAAAATATTTCTTCTGTCGCAAGAAGTCCACAAAAAAGTCCTAATTTTAAAAGAATTTTTCTTTTTTTTCACCCTTCCAAAGCTCTACTAAAGATGCACCTTTCAATGTCACCGAAATGCTGTTTCATACTATGGTCAAGGCTTACTATTGTCTTGCTTTTCATCGTTCCTGATAGGAACAACACAACAAAAATTATTTTTTAAAATTGTCTATGGTGTAAGAGGGACCCAAACGGACTTGAGTGGATTGCTTGCAACACTGATGATACGTTGCGAACTTTAGTGTTTCAAGTATTCATAGGCATTTTCATGTGACTGGTTCTTTTTGGGTTAAAATTACAGGTTAAAAAATAATAGTAATATAATGATAAGGAGCATTTGTGTAAGGTCTAATCCCTACCAGACTGTAAGTGCTGTATAATACGGAATCATCATTCAACATAGCAACAAATCAAATGACAATAAATGCACATTGTGAGACTATTATATAAGAAGACATGCACATACACTGACACACTCACACACAAACACACTCACACACACACACACTCACACACACACACACATTCTCACATACAAAACTTACCTGCTTAAGATAGTGTTGAACAAATGTGTCTTTTGACTTTTCTTAAACTCTCTCTCTGGTCTCCGTGTCAGCCATCTTGGATTTTTTGCCATGTTGCGGGGACAGTCGTTTTCCACAGAAAATACTCGAATTTAA